ATCAACACACTTGAACTATCCAATCACAGATAATAGCAAATTCCAACGAATTATCGTCATTTCGTAAGATCGGATGTTCTTTTTCCCTTGATATTTCAATAATAGGTTTGAAATGAGTCCTTAATTAGCAATTCAATTTGATGAATAACTCTTCAAAATACCATTCAATCGCGTGAATCATCTTATTGAATAATATGACCGCAGAAATACATATTTTAATGCTTAGTTTTAAAGTATTCAAGGGCCACAATGTTAAGTATTAAATGAAACAAAAATAATAATGAAAATGAGACGCATTAAATCGATTTCTCACTTCGATCAGATCATGCGATTATTTTCAAATTAGGTGGTCTACTTGGTGGTGGAGGCAGTGGTGGCAAAAGAGGAGGTGATTACGATGATCGGAATCGTGGTGGATACGATGATCGAGATCGTGGTGGATATGACGACCGAAAAGGAAAATCTGGATTTGGTGAGTACTTACACTGACTGAATTCTCTGAATTTAGCAAATTTTAATTTCAATGATACTGTTACACCACTCGGTTTCAAGCAAAACTTTCCTCCACGAACGAGAATCGAACCCGCGACGTTGCAAGCCTAAGCCAGCCTATGATCTGGCTTGTATTTAATTGAAAAATTTCAATTGTTTTTGCTCATTTTAGTGTTCATTGATTTATCTCCTCACTTGCCTGTGTGCACATGTTTATTTGTTCATTCTGTTCTTTCAACGCAATAATCGTCTGTGAGATAAGTCAGACTTACAATCGCTCTTCATCACGGTTGTTCTTCTCACTCAGTGCTCACAATCAGTTTTGATACAATTGAATTGCATCTGCATATACAGCAAGGTGTATATTGTGCTCATTGACTCAGTAAAAAATCGAACCTTTCCGATAACTTTTTGTAGGCTGCGATATACATATGGCTTTAAAGGATTCGTTTTTTTTTTCTATGAACAATGTCAAATGCAATGTAATAAATCGTTTGTTTTTTGAACTAAAAGTTTCCTCGGTTGCAAAGAAAAAACTCAAAAATTTGTCCTTCGTCGATCATTTTGACTCATTCTATTGCTACTTTTTTCCATACATTATTGTTCTTTGTCATTTTCTTTACGGCAAGCTGAATTAAGGACGTAGTTTTTGGTTGGTGATTAATGAACAATATCTTTCTACAAGCAAATGCGTTCAGTTGAAGCTTAGAGTTGGTCGATTGAGAGCGCAATAAAACAGCACCAATAGAAGCATTATGGAACGAACGATATCTTTCGTTACGGATAACGCTAGAGATATGTTTCGTTTTGCTATTTTCCTTGCTGATACCATCCATCGTATCAACCGCACACAGCAATCGCCGCACACAAAGTGCTCCTTTGCTTCCTCAAAAATTCCTTTGCCTCAGTTCTCTGCATTCGCTGCTGCCTTCATCATCAAATTGTCTATTGATCATCCTCATTCCATCGAATCCATCATCCAAAAAAAGCTTGCAACCTCGAGCAGTTGGAATTTTTTCATTGGAATTTTATGAGTTCATTGTTTTGTTTGTGAGATTGAAATACACCACATATGCGGCGTGTTTGAAATATTTATGAATACGAAGTTGTAATTTGAATTTATGATTTGGTTTATGGATGATGTGGTAAGTGATATGTGCTGCAATAGTAAATATGATAATATCGCTCGTCGTTCTGAGTTTAGAGCAGTTCCTTATTGGTTGTTTATTTTTTCAACATATGAAGTTCCGTGTTCCAGAGTCCTACGATTCCATTCAAAATTGTTTAATTGCCGTGTCATCAGTGTTGATGACCGTTTGAGTAGTTTATTGTTTTCTTGCAGTATCTTTAGTTTATCACTGAGCTTGTTTGTTTCTCCGAAAGATAACATCTGATAAAGAAAAGGATTAAATACTGAACGGTGTTGTTGCTGATAAGCTCATATGTTCGACTGCCTTATCATTTTGCTGAACAGTAACCTGTATTTTCTCATTCACGTGTATTGGTATCACTAGCGCATACTCTTGTTGTTTCCTTTGAAATGTGAATTTATCATTTGGATATTTATCATTATGATGAATATTGTCATTATTATGTCGTCCAATATAACATATATTTGCTTATTTGTCTGCGCACACCTCGTTTATCTAACATCCAAAAATAGGCATTTCTTCTAATTCGATTCAGTTAGATTCACTCTCAACGATTGCTACTATTAATAAAATGCTCCATTTGAAATTTTCATTGCACCTATTTCAATTGATTCCAATGACTGTCCTCTTTATCCACCTCAGAAATCATCGATGAAATTCATTCGAAACCATTGAAAGTCTCATTTGCATTGAGTTTTTGAGAGTTTCTTAGTATCATTGATCTTATGTTATATCTTATGTTCTGAATTTTATGCAGTTGCATTGCTCTAAATTGGCAAAACAGTGTGCGAAATGGCGATCTCACATGCCAGATTGCAGTTGTGCATATTCGGTTTCGAGGTTCATAACTTCAATATATCGACAAAGAAAACAACTGTTTGAGGTGAATAAAGAGGATGGTCATTGGGATCGAATGAAATGAAAGCAATGAAAAATTGGAGTGAAGCATTTTAGAAGTATCCACTGTCACTGAGAATGAATCTGAATGAATGAGTTTCCAGGAAATTCTTATTTTGAAACTTTTGATTGATCAGCATTCTTGTATAATGGCACTGAGTCTGTTTACGTGTTGTATACGTAGTCAAGAAGAGACTGATTCAGCGGGCGAGGCTCAGATGAAACGTTTTGAGATTCAAGGTAATATCCTAATGATTTTGAAAGTTATGAGAGTACAATATCCTTTGATTCAAGAAGGGGATTGATTAGTTAGTGAATCCGAGGAAGGTAACGAATTGACCAATGAATCGATGTATTTTCACAGGTCATATGGTGATTATTTTTCTTGTTTTGAGCAATTTCATGAATATATTCAATAGGAATCGTTATCAATCGATCTTCTGAAATCAGCAGTGTGTTATATGTCGATGATTAAAAGTCATTTCATAATGTTACTTTCTGCAAATCCTCATAACAAGAAAGAAATCTCAATGAGAAAATGAATATTTTATTAATGCGACGAATAAACGTTACTGCTTATAGGTGATCAGATTGGTGACATTCTTGGAGGCTTCATCAGTGGAGGTCGAGGAGGCGGTGGTGGGTATAACCACATAGTTGTGGATTCATTCATATTTATTTCTTTTGTTCACATGGTCACCTTTCTCAGCTTCCATCTTCGAATGTTTAGCCTCTCCCATCTTCTCTCAACAAATTTCAAAAGATGGGAATGTCTTGCAATATTGCATTTGATTGCGAAGATCAATTTCCTGACAGCGAAACGTCCAAACTTATCCCGCTTTTCGGAATGAGTTATACGCCATCTTATAGAGCTCCTAGACATACAAGTAGCTAATCATAGACATGCAAGAAATTTTTGCGGAATACAAAGGGGACGTGAGCTATGGCGGGATAAAGGTTTTCACTGCATTCAATTAGCGTTTCGGATCTCCGTCCACTTGGCCGTTCGAGTATGAGATCCTGGATCCGCATGCTGATGGAAGTTTTTTTTTTCATGACTGACTTATGAAAAGTGTGGTTGATCAATAACAAATGTTATATTATCATGCATCAAACGATGAGAAATCAGTGGATGAGAAAAAATGAATTTTGTTAAATTTAAATTGATAAATATTCAAACTGAAACAAAAATTCATAAACCTGACATGATTGAAACACACAGATAAATTTATGATACGAACATTTCGTAAATGATAACAGATCACAGTTGTTTATATTACAGTTCTGAACCACATGCTCTGAGAAACACAAACACCAAACACAAAACACTCAATCTCTGGTTGGTATCTTTGATGCATTCGTTCACCGTTCTCCCCATCATAAGGGCGAATGGTGTTCTATCGTGTAAATCGTATTTTATACTGGGCGAGTCAGGTGGCAAGTTTGCATACAGCTTCAATTGATGTTCACCTATCCTTGTCGCTGAATTCGGGCAATTGCGTAGTATGGCTAGATCGCTTATGTTTTCATGGTTCAGGAAATATGTTACAACAATGCAAATGCGAGCACGTGCACGTATGCTTTTCATTTTAAATTCTTGGACACCCTTTAAGAGACCTGATGGAATGGGAGGATTGCTTCCGTCAAAGGTATCTTTTGAGATTGAGAACATATCTCCTGGCACAACTTCACACATCTAACAACTTGATCGATTTCTCTTTCGAATATTCAAAACATTCATCCGCATGATCCACTTTTATCTGATTACTCACGATATCGATTTTTTGATCTACCAACGTGAAAGTATGTTGTGTGTTCTGGAAGCGGTTTTCGATCAGTTTTGAAATCCGATATTTCGGGGATTGTACGAATGTGGATGCATTCTCGTTGTATGAATGTGCATGCATTCAATAACACCCAGAATAATTTGAAAATCCGGTTCAAGTGTGTTTCCCACAGCATGTGGTTCGAGACTGTGATATAAATAATTGTGACCATATAAAATCCCGACCTCGGATTTTATACCTGAGCTTAATGCACTATCCGCTGGGCCAACCGGGCGGAATCTCAAAATGTTACTCCAATGCACTGAAAACGTTTATCCCGTCATATCTCACGTTCCATTTGGGTTCCGCAGAAATTTTTTGTTTATCCATAACCAGCTACAGGAGCTCTCCAAGATAATTTATAACTTATCCCAAAGGGTTCTCCAAGATTTAATTTATAACTTATCCCGGGGTAAGTTTGTAAATTTTCCTCATGAAATGTTTCAGGTGGAGGTGGAGGTGGAGGTGGGGGAGGTGTGAATATTGGTGATGTGGCAGGTTTGATTGGTTCTTTATCGGGTGGTGGCAGTAAGAGTGATAAGATCAGCGGACTAATTGGTGGTATTGGTGGACTGATCAACAAAAAGAATGGCAAATATCGTGGTGGAGGTAGGCAAACTCTTACTCATATCTGGATGATACTGTTCATCCACCTTCATCCAGAACAAGGCGTCTAGGGACTGAAAACAAAATAGCTCTGAGCTGCAGAGGGCACGATTGAGCCTCGTGAACGATGCATCTCCGACCATTACTCTGCTCAAATGAAAGCTGTGCGCATCCTCTTTGGGGATGGTTTTATTAAGCGTGGTCATCTCCGCAGCTGGAAGACATGGTCGTATTCGTTGGAAATGATCATGATTCTGAATCAACACACATTTCCTCATGAAAGCAAATCTGCGGTTCTTTATCTCTCATTGATTGCACGTCGCATTTCAAATGAAATCGGTCGGAACCACCAAATTGTTTCATTGACTCGATTCTGTCATTTCAATGATTTTTTTAAATGCCAGCCACCATATTTGTAGAAGTAATGCAGTTGCAGATGTCTCATGTCAGATTTTATACAATTTGTTGAGTGTCTTTTCAGGACCCAACGTTAATCCAGATAAGCTGAATGGTGGAATGGTGGATATGGTCAGCGGCCTAATAGGCCAGCTTGCGCATCGTTTTCTTGGTGTAGATCCGGCAACTGGCCGAATCATTGGTGCAATCGCCGGAAATGTGATATTCAATCTTGGTTTGTTCTTGATTTGTGTCGTTGTTCGTTTGTTGTGGTTCAAACGATTGAGGCAGTTGGATTATTCATTGCAAAAGTCCCAAATGAAAATTTCTAAGTCTTAATGTTAAAGCTGTCGCCATTTTCAGGTGGCAAAGACAATAAGTTAGGTAACGTTGGTAAAGTGGTTCTGGACAATATTATAACTGGAAAATTCAAGAGAAAGGTAAATTACGAAATGATTTCTGAATCGATATGTCATTAGAAATTACTGGCATGTTTAGTTTGTTGGTATTTTGCTCAAAGATATTCGTAACAAGTTTCTTTCTTATTCACAACACAATCGCTTTTCATTTGCGTGTCACAATTTGCATATGCACCAATGATCGATGTATAATTTATCGCTTTGTAAAGTTGATATAAGCCTTTGTGAAGCTGTTTTGTTTGTGTATGATCTGAGGCGACATCTTTGAACAGTTTATCGTCAATGGAAGATTCACTGTGACATAACAAGACCGTTATTAAGAATTGTGAATCATGAAATATGAAAAACTGATTTATGAAAAGTGTACGCGATGGGGGTACGAAGTTTGATTAAACGAGAACAACAATGAGTGCTTTCATTTCTCTGATGTAATGACCCTTCATTCTTTCTCACTCTCAAATAGCATGGGATCTTACAATTCAATTTCAGACTGATAAGTTCGTAAGACCTGAACCATCAGCACATCCGAGACCACCGTCACCAACCGCCAGAGCTGGAGCATTAGACTTCTACGAAGAGCGAGATCGATGTCTTCAAGTATGTCATCGTTATGAAACATTCTCCACGTTTCGATTATGGTTATCACCACTCATCTGTCATGACCTTTGTTTGTTATTGTCACTATTTTATTATGTTGTCACAGTTACGGTCACTCTCAATATCAATGTTTTTTCGACTAATTAAGGTAGCAATTTCTTGAGTTGAATGTAGTTCGTCGAAATGCTCAATGTCGCTCAGCTGCAAAATATTTTCAGGAACGTTGTTTATTCGAGGATCCGGAATTTCCGGCTCGCGACAGCAGTTTATTCTTCAGTAAAGCACCACCAAAACGCATTGAATGGAAGAGACCTGGAGTACGTTTTGGGAATTATTGAAATTGAAATCTGCAATTTCATAAAATACGGCTTTCTAACTAATCACATGTTACTTTCACATTCTTTCTAGGTTACGCATTCATAACGAAAGTAAAAACTTGAGAATGGTCCGTTTATCGCAGTAATAATTATCGATCTTCTTGAGGAAATCATTGATGCTCCGCAATTGATCTACGAGGGTCACTCACGTTTCGATGTGGTTCAAGGAGAATTGGGCGATTGTTGGTTACTTGCAGCTGCAGCAAATTTGACACTTCGTGATGAACTCTTCTATCGTGTCATTCCACCAGATCAAAGTTTCACTGAGAATTATGCAGGTATTCAAGTTTCTATATTCACTCAAATCTCTTTCATTCGCCTCAAATTCATCTGAAACGAATCGATTTCACGTTGGACGAAACGATACATATTGAGTTCTTTTTCCCGTCTTCCAGGAATATTCCATTTCCAATTCTGGCACTATGGTAATTGGGTTGACGTTGTGGTGGACGATCGTTTACCAACATCAAACGGCGAATTACTGTACATGCACTCCAGGGAGCATAATGAATTCTGGAGTGCGTTACTGGAAAAAGCTTATGCAAAGTAATCAACTTTGTGACTTTACATTTGTTTCACTTTATCGATATGAATATTCAGTTCTTGGATGAAAAATATCAGTCCATTGCTCATGGCATCAATCCTTTCACTATTCACTTCTACAGTTGACTTTGTTTGAATTCAGGTTGTATGGATCGTATGAGGCGTTGAAAGGTGGTACCACATCAGAGGCGTTAGAGGATATGACTGGTGGATTAACGGAATTCTTCGATCTCCAAAATCCACCCGATCATCTTATGGAGATGATGATGCGTGGTTTTGAAATGGGATCGTTGTTTGGATGTAGTATTGAGGTATACTGATCTCTTTTCAGTCTTCACTATGATTTCGTTGCACTCACTGATTCTGTTACATATTTGTGTTTGATTTTCCATGGAATTGTGCATTTTAATTGTTCCATTTGAAGGCTGATCCACATCAGTGGGAAGCACGAATGCCAAATGGATTGGTAAGGGGCCATGCGTATAGTATCACTGGAATGCGCATCGTTAGTCTTTTCCTGTGCACTTTGAGATCGTTCATTATCGTTGTTATTTTCATCATTAGCATTACTTTTCATTTCTTCATCTTGTGAAGAATCATTAATTGTTTAACTGTTCTTTGTTTCAATGCACTTCATGACAGCAGTCACTCTTTAGAGCTCCTACAGGTTCCTCTCTTGCAACTGTCTCCTGTATGAAAATGATTCAAGTTCTCAATTTCAGGTGAATGGACCTCGTGGTCGTACGCCAATCTTACGTATTCGTAATCCATGGGGCAATGAACAGGAATGGAATGGACCGTGGTCAGATCATTCGCGTGAATGGCAGAGTATATCGCAGCAAGAGAAAGATGATATGGGTTTGAATTTCGCACATGATGGGGAATTTTGGTTCGTTTCTACGGTTTAATCACTCCATATTATTATGATGTCGGAAGTTTTTATGTTCAATTTTTGTGAGCCGGTGCTTCACGATCTGAATACCATCTTCGTTATTTCTTGAAATACTCAGACGATCGAAGTTCAAATTTGAAATTCTATAAGTCTCTTTGATATGCAGTATCAACAAGTCTCTTTGGTACCTGTGATTTGACATTTACATAGCATTCAATTGGATTTTTTCTTTTCCACTTCAGGATGTCATTCGATGATTTCATGCGTAATTTCGAGAAGATGGAAATTTGCAACTTGGGACCTGAGGTTATGGATGAAGTAAGTTGGATTACTTTTTACGCGTTCATCGGAATCGCATCGGTAGTAACCCAAATTGACCCAAGCATTTCCCATAACATGAATGAAGATTCTCGCATGTAAACACTCGCTCAGAACTTTGGCTTACACCTCTGAAACACTGATGTTCAGTGATCCAAAATGGGCAATAATTCGTTTCCAAACAACCGAAATAGTAATAACGTTCACGATTTCGTTTGTACAATACTTGTCCAGCAGTTGTGACTCTTTTGTCCTTCGTTACAAATTGAATGTTTATGAGAAGTTCAGTGATATTGCATGTTCAAGATCACTCAAATGACCGGCGTTAACACAGGACAACAAAAGTGGGCCACTGTTACACACGATGGAGCGTGGATAAGGAATCAGACGGCTGGTGGATGCCGTAATTACATCAGTTGGTTTCGATTCTGGAAATGTTTTCTGAATTCATCCCGCTGTGAACTTCATTCGGTTCACTTTTTCAGATACTTTCGCGAATAATCCACAGTATCATATTCATTTGACTGATTCGGACCCGGATGACGACGATGACTTGTGTACGGTGATAATAGCAGTGATGCAGAAGTATCGTCGCGAGTTTAAACACGCCGGAATTGACAATGTTGCTATTGGATTCGCCGTTTACGATGTTAGTTTCAATTGAATCCGTTTCAAGTTTTGTTCCTCGGGAAGTTTTATCACTAGCAATAAGCAGAACACTGTTATTTCAGTTGTACGCTGCTAGACTCATAAAAGTTTATGAAAGGTTTTCAGCAAAGAACTGAAGAAGTTTTCTTCTTGAGGGCTTCTTCTATTGTTGATGTTAGGGAACCTATTTTTCCAATAATAATTATGCCACGTAAATATGTTCTTTCAGATGGGAGAGGTAGGGAAAATCACTTTTATACGAATATCCTTATGTTCCTTGTTGTGTTGGTTCAATTTAATTTATTTGCAATGTTGCGCTTAGTTAAATATCTATGCTTATAATTTCTTTGCTTTTCCATAACTTGTGGATATTTTTAAATATTGTTGATTTTGGATGCCAAAATGTATTATTCAATTGTGATAGTCATGTTAATACGAGTTTTATTACCGCCATGCTTATTATTTTCACATTATTTGTACTTGCATGATTGTTGTTGTATTATCGTAAGTGTATTATAATTATTTGCATGCTCTGATAGCGGGGGTTCGGGTCTCGAAATGAACCAACCTCTCGTGCTAGACGAGAATGACCTCCAAAAATTTCTGAAGTTGCCTCGTTCAATCAGGACGCACGATTATTTCGTGTCGGTATCTCGTATCGATAATTTTGAGAAATTTCTCGTCTCGCATCAGTATTCGAGATATCAACCATCTTCTATCATCTCATCTCGTTTCGGTTTTATTTCACGATGCAGATCCTTATTTCATAACTTCATTTTTATCTCATGGCTAGTGTTCACGATCTGACACATTTCTTCATCTGATTATCAGTTGTACATTCTGTCTATCATATGCTTCGATAATTGCAAGGTTTACAGCTGCTTGCAGAATAGTCGTAGAATAGCTTCTTTCAAATTTATCCCCGACCTCGTGAGCACCGTATAAATCTCATACAATTTCAGGCTGGTGGATTCAGTGGACGTCTCGATGAAGATTATTTCAGATCGCACAAATCATGTGCTCGAAGTGCTGCTTTCATCAACTTGAGAGAGGTTGTCAAAGCATTTCTTTATTCCGTTTACTGTGTTCACTTCATTTTTTCAATCATTGAGATATCTCTAAACTTCCTCTTATTTTTCAAATTTACTTATCGATACATTACCTTGTGAATTCAATCACTTAACATTTCATTTATATTTCTATCATTTTCAGAAGATTTCATCGGTTTATCGCACACTTTTCCATGCTTTCCTTATGTATTCATTTCCGCCTTAGCAATATTTCACTCACGAAGGGTTCAGCTGAAGTAATGGTAAGAATTACAGGTGACGGCTCGATTCCGTGTTCCACCGGGCGATTATGTGATTGTTCCGTCAACATTTGAACCGAATGAAGAGGCCCAATTCATGCTTCGAATATATACGAATGGATTTATAGATTCACAGTGAGTTCTTAGATTCGTTGGTTTCAAAAGTTTTCATCTTTGATACTTCTTGATTGATAATGAATCATATTCTCATCGTGAAACTTCACAGGAATTTTCAGAGAACTTTAATCAAATCATACTAATTCGTTCGAAGTGTCACCCTTCTTTCGCCATTGCTTGGTGAACAGTTCTGCTGCTTTTTCTATCTTCAATACGCCAAACTCATTGAGCCGGTTAAAGTGCTGTTGACGAGAGTGATGCGTTTCGTTGGTGATCGTCTATTAGCACATACAATTATTATATTTCAATGCTGAATGTTTAATTTTTCGTCACAGATAATTACTGCATTCAGTTTTAACTGACTATTCGTTGAGGTTATCTGTTGTTGCATTATTCTTTGTTTTTTATAATGAATTCGGGATTTATCCGATTTTCACAACAGTGTGCATTGCTCTTTTTTTCCGTCCAACTGAACGTTTTATTTACTTTGATGCTTTTTTCCGGAATTTTGAGGACCGTTTTCGCTTATTTTTCAAGGTGTATTTGTTTTGTTTCTTGTTTTAGAATTCTTTTGTCGTTTCTGTAGGTTTTTCTCAATTTTTGAATTATTCAGTTAAGAGTTTCCGTTCACAAAATTGAAGCGTGTTAGGAAAAACTAATGCTTCACAAAGATTTGGATGATCGGATGAAGTATGCTTTCCGTAGTCGTCTTCTCAAAAAATTTATGAAACTGAGGGATTTTATTGAGGCTCCAAAGGTTTATGTTCCATCGGACAACGTATAAAATCCACAGAAATTATTTCACAATAATAAATACCATCCAAGACTACGTCAATCAAATTTTTCTTATATTTCGTTTATGCGAATGGGAGAATTGTTCATATCCTACGGTTCGGTGTTCAAGAAGAAGAATAGTTGAAGTGTTGACTATATCTCATTGCTGTTTCGTTGAGTGTTTCATGAAATTGAAAATTTTGTAATTATTGCTGACACTGTTATCATCAGTATCTATTCATTTGTTGAATCACGTCGTTCTTCTCATTATCTTTTGTTTTATAAACGTTCCAAAATGCTTCTCCACTTCTGCTTTGCTCTCTGCCGAACTGCTCATTTGTCGTTTTGTTATATTCAGTGAACCTCGGAATATCTTGCATTTTCCGACGATATTCCGCATCCTATGAAATGCACGCACGAGTTTCGTTGTTATTCGTGCATCTATGTGCATAATTTGATCGAAACAAAACAGATCATTTCTTAGAAATACGATGGCGATTGTAACAGATAAATAGGACTGATTGCTGTATTTGTTCTTGTTCCATCCGAAAGATTATCGTTGCTGATTTCGTACTGTTTCACTGTTCCGTTATTGATATTATTATTATTTTCTTCTTTGATCACAGTTCCTTTCTCTATTCTCAGTTCGTTTATCATTGATATATTAGTACTTATCGTTATTTTCGATTTAACTTTATGTTAATTTTGACATTCTTCGAGGTATTTGTTTAATAGATTGAATAAATATTCAATCCGTTTCTATGACGGTTGCGTCCGACCAGTTTAACTCCTCCAATCATCTCAATCGTTTGTGAATCGACGTACCAATTTGAAATTGGATGGTGCGTGCATTGAATGCACCTGAGAGTACATTTGGCAGATATTTGCTTGAATTGTATTTCAAGGACTCTATTTATCCGTTTGGGAGGATAAACTTCATTTTCTACTGGTTGTCAGTCACTCTTTCAAAAGAGCAAAAAGAAATGTTGTTCTCAGCAGAACATTGAAATGGCATCATTATTATCATTGTTAAAGCCTTCACTTTCATTGATTCCATCCGTCGGTGTCTGAATTTGTGACTATCATTTGTTGACGATTTCACGTAGTTTACGTAAGATTCTCAAAAAACAGCAGTGTGATTGAAGTTTGAAATGGGTATAATCAATGCGAAATTACATTTCAACAATATATATTAGCAATATGCGGGGTATCGGTTCGATTCGTACATTATCAGCAGCAAAAAACGACAAATTTCGAAGTAAAATTTATCGTGTATTGGCGAAAATTGGTGCATCTATTGGTATTTTCTGCACACCAATTGTTTTCTTCGATACCGTTGGCTATCCAGCCAGTGTTGTGGGAACGTCGATGGAGGTATGTGCCTCACTCAAGAATGATATTTCGAATTCACATATGAGACATTCACTGACATCGTCTTCTCCAAACCAGTACATTTCGGCTGTTTACAAGAATACATTTTTGGGCACAGATTGATCGCGAATTTGTTTAAAGAATTTGATTCTGATGTTGAGTGCAATTGTTAAGTTGAAATTAAGTGCAATTGTGCAAAAATATTCAGCCAACATTGGAGGGTAACGACAGACGTTGGTGGAGACGTGACATCGTATGGCTGACACGTTTCGGTATCAAAACACCACAGATTGGTCAAATTTTCACTTTTATGTTCGTCTCAGGAATATTTGTCTGATTGATTCTTTGCATGGAATGTCAAATATCTTTTAGGTTCCATTTTCAGTTCTCAAATGGATTTGTGAAGGCTCTCTTTTAAGAACAATCGCTGTTTGTTTATACTTGGAGAATAATTATTTCAGATCACCTCAAGATCCCGATAAGCAACACATCAAACGTGTAACAGCTCTCGAAGGCGATACAATTAGGTGTGTTGAAAATGCTAGAAAATCATTTCGGAATCGCATATGAATGTAGTAATTTTATGTAGTCACCATTTATAGCAGCATCAGCAAATCATTGATATTATGCACAAATGAGTCACAAATGAAAAATCAGAATATAAGCAATTATATGTATCATCCTGTCGTCATTTTGTGGTATCGCCAAAGGCATTGAATGTACTTGGAGTATTCAATGAAATACCGCTGTTTCTCACCAATTTCCAACCATAATCCTGGGAAGTGGAATTTCGACCGTGAATGAACTCAAACCATCACTCCATAAACAATTTTTCAGGCCCAGAAAAGGACCAGCTTTCGTGTGTATTCCTGAAGGTTGTTGTTGGATGGAATCTGACAATCCAAAAAATTCGAAAGATAGCAATATTTATGGACCGGTCAGATAAATGCTCACTCTTCTTTCAGCATTTACAAATCTTCACATTCTGATTTGTTCATAAGATGCCACATATTTAAGCCAATTGTTTGCTCAAATTATCCGAGGATTTTTTTGAGCAATTTCGAGATGCTGGTGCTGCTCGGAGAAAATTCCACTGTCACAATATTCGGTGTGTCCTCCGAATGAAATTATTTGAACTGAATTCTATTACGAATAAATGAGTCAGTAATAAAAACCAGCCTTGCATCTGCTCAATGAGTAATGATAATGATGAATATTCAGGTATGTCGCGGTTTACTGAGGGCTCGTGCCACTCACATTATATGGCCCCCATCACGATGGCAATCAATCGAAACGTATTTGCCTCAACAGAGCAGTCAAATAGTCCGCAATGATGAAATCTTCTTCAGTTCCCTATTTGAACCCTTCGAAGATATCTTCAGTGATTCACCAGGACTTTGAACTTTTCGATCTGAAAAATTTCATTCGCAATTAATTCAGAACTCTTTGTGCTAGGTTCGTTTGTCGTTTTGGCGGAACCCGTTTCTGAGAACAGAAAGATTTTTTAGTTGATGAGTTTGAATCAAGTGGATGACCTAAACTAATCGCAAGTTGTGGCAAGTCAGGAGAAGTTGATAAATCCAATTGACACCTTGAAAAAATAGTGTATCGAATGCAAGAACAAATTTTAATGGTAACAACTGGACGATAATCTTGGAACTGTAGTGTTTCCGTACCAAGCAAATATTACTGAAATTGAATACCTCATCTCAAAATGGATTTAAAAAATGTGTTCTTTCCATTGTTCTCCAATAAACTGTTTCAAGTCGGAAGTTTCGTGTTTCTTCAATGAGGAAGTGAGATTTTTAAATTCTGATCAGTTTCTCAATTTACTATATACCATTGCAAGAGGAAGCCTAGATGAATTCTGCGAAAAGCTGCCCATAGACAATAAAAGTTATTTCTGGAACTTTCAACTAGTCAACTTTTGAAAAATGGCGATAATGAAAGTTGGGTATCGTACATTCTACACTAAATTTGGGCTTAAGCTTAGACTGAGGCTCATATCGGAGAACCACCTATTTATTTGTTAGATATACATCTCGAAATGACCTTGCCATCTATTTCTTTAATGAACACCTCACCTTTGTATGATAGAACTATGCATTTGTTTAACAGATACCTCATCCTCCATATGAGCCTCAACCTAGGCCCGAGCCCACGTATAATGCATCGCGATATTCCACTCTATCGTCACGTGTTCCCGACGAGCCATCTTACAATTAGCTCGATTCATGAAGCGATAACATCTAATCCCACATTAACTGATTAGTTGAGATAATCCAAGAATTGTGACCTCAGACACAAATGAAAAACGCTACTGCCCTTACGCTGTACAAGCAGATTCATTTCTATAATACAAAAGTTAAATACAATCAGAAGTAATCACTCACTTTTGCAATATCGCACATCTTAAGTTACAATTGTGATGATTAATGTAAATCGACAAACAAACGAAAACAATTCCTATTTCTAGTTCACTCGTAAAAGCAAACAAAAAGTTGTGAGCACCAAATATACATACTATGTGAACAAAGAAGCATGAAAACCCTGAACTTCAACTTCAATTCCA